TAACTCCAGCATTCAAGCACACTACACATGCATACTGACACGGCACTACATCCACAGCCCTGGGTACTCAAGGCAGAACAAACCAAAGGTCACAGAAAGAAGTCCTTGGGAGAAGCCAGAACACTCAAGTGGCAGGAGGGTACATACCACTGACAGTGCATGAAGACTCTGCCATGGTAGAGAACACAGTACTGGCAAGTGTGAGAAGTCACAGAAACACCTGGAGTATCCACACATTTCCATGTGCTCACACGCCTGTTGTAGAGATGAATTAATTGCACTTAGATACCTCCTGTAGAATGGTGCTTTTCAGCTTTCACCAAAGGTTTGCCATGTTTGTGTGCTTCAGAAGCACAGGAAGGCAGCCAGCTTTGGATGTGGTGTGCTAGGATCCTAAGAAGGGATAGGCTCAGCCACAGCCAGGAAAATGACCACCCTGCTGACACCCTGCTTTGCCTAGCCTACTGGCATCTTACTCATGTTCCCAGCCTCCCTGGACATTCCTCACACAACCCCTTGAATGGAGAGGGACGGGCACAGAGGTTGTTTTCATCTTCCAATCTCTGTGTGGATGATTACTAAAGGGCTGGCTTTTCCCACAGGAGGAGAAGCTGGCTCAAGCTTCAGCTGAGTGAATCCCAGAAACTCACCTGTTCCCAGGAGTTTTCCATAAAGAATGTGTTTACAAAGTAACCAGCTCTATCCTGATGTGGGAGACAGTAAACCAGCTTTTCCCCATGCACCAATCTACAGACCTCACTGCTTGCTCTTGGGTGCTATTCTTCAGAACCTTCAAAGCGGAGCAGGTAGGATCTCACACTAGCCCAGCAGTTATGAGTCACGGCCAGAGACCACAACAAAAGGCACCCTTTTCTCTGTTATCTGATTTTCCTTTTCCCTTGAGTATACTTCCTGAGCCAAGAGGGAAACAATAAACGGTAGTAGGAGACTGACCCCTTCCTCAAGGGGAAAATGTAACATGAGAACATAGCACAGGAGGCCATCCAGCAAGGCTAGGCTGGCTCTCTAGAAGTTTCCCAGATGGCGCAAGCCTTTAATCCCAGCACTTGGGAGGCAGAGGCAGGCGGATTTCTGAGTTCAAGGCCAGCCTGGTCTACAGAGTGAGTTCCAAGACAGCCAGGACTACACAGAGAAACCTTGTCTTGAAAAACAAACAAACAAACAAACAAAAAAGAATTAGAATGAAGTACTCTGAACACTCCTGCATGGTGGGAAACTGAGGACACAGGCTGAGATCTTGTGAGAAAAAGAAATCTCTTGGCCTGTCACATCTCAAGCTGAGAAACATGGTGATGCTGACCCTAAGAAAAAACCCTGGAGTCCGGGAGCTCAGTTAACAGCTCTGTCCTTACCCAGGCATTCTTCCGTAGGGTTTTACTTCCCTGGCAGCTATGCAAAGCAAAGGTGACCAGACCCTTTGTGTGAGCCCAGGTAAAGGAGGAGCATCCACTGTGAGGTCTCATGTGTGCCAGACTCTGTGTAAGCACTCTAGATATGCGTGCGACTCAGTGTTTTCCAAAGAGATGTTAGTATAGAAACAAATCTGCCAGCACTGGATGGAGGAGAGCCAAGGCTTTCCAAGGAATCAGCTTTGGCTGTGGGACATGGTGCCTTCCAATACCACCACCACACAGGCACAAAACCCACCTATGCCATTTGAGCAAATAATGGAGATGACATAGAACCCAGAAGGAGCCTTGAACTGCTATCATAAAGGAAAACACTGATTTATCACAGGAGGAAAAATGGCTGGTTGGCCACACCTCTTTCTGTTCAGCCCAAGCTTCTGGAGCCTCCTCTATTCCTACCCTTTAGTGGGGGCCACTATGGGAAAAACCCTGGTGTGTTTAGGCTCAGGATGACCAGACATTATCAAGGGCAGAGGATACTGAGGTAACCCCTTAGAGGACACTGGCCTCTCCATTAGTCCTAGCCAGCCCTGTGTCAACAAACAATGTAAGGAGCTGTACCATAATAAAAGTCCTAGGGAACACAGGCTGTGAAAGTTGTTGGTACATCATAGGGACTAGGGAAACATCCTGCCACATGGCTGGTGACAGCCAGAAAGAAGTTGCAAGCTGAAGCAACTTCCTCTCTGTGGACATTTAACTACCTTTCTGCACCCAACATGGAAGCGCACTGATCAGTGTTACCAGCAACTTTAACAACAAAGACACTTCCCGAGAGGGGTATACTCACAGGACAACACAGGGACACTGCCTTTAGGAATATACCCTGCATATCCTCATTTGATTGGCTGAGCCCCTCAGGCCCACTGACTTCAGACGCTAGACTCTGAGCTAGTTCCACTCACAAGCTTCTGCTTGCTGCCCTTCCAGACAGGGAGTTTTCTATGGGAAATTGAACATTTGAAAAAGAAAGGGCAGACTTCCCACCACAAACCATAGACACATTTTATCAAGAGATATTTGTCAATAAAACACCTTTCCTTTGAAATAACTCTGAGGGCCGGTAAGATGGCTCAGTAGGTAAAGGCAATTGTTGCCAAACATGATGACCTGAGTTGGATTCCAAGGACCCACACACACAGTGGGAGAGAACTGACTTCTGAAAGCTGTCCTCTCACCAAATGAAGACCCACAACCTTCAATCAATCAATGAGTCAGTCAATCAAATCAACCAATGTAATTAAAAGTTTTAAAGCACTTTGACACCTTTTAGAGAGATGAATAAACAGCAGGGCAGTGGTGGCATATGGCTTTGATCCCAGTACTGGGGAGAAAGAGCAGGTGGATCTCTGAGTTTGGTCTACAGAGTGAGTTCTAGGACAGCCAGGGCTATACAGAGAAACCCTGACTCAAAAAAAAAAAAAAAGAAGAGAGAAGAGAAGAAGAGAAGAGAAGGAAAGAAAGAAAGAAAAGAAAGAAAAGGTGGGGAAAAGATAGATATATGCAGGTAGAAAAGAAAAGAAAGATAGGGGAAAAGATAGATATATGCAGGTAACCGGAAAATACTATGTTCTAAGTCATAAAGGGTTTACAAACAGTGAAGCCTCAAACAGAAGACCAAGAGCCCACATATCAGCTTCCTACTGCTGTGTGATAAGGCACACAAGGCAGAGTGGCTTATAACATTTGTCATCTCACAGTTTCTATGGGTCAGGAACCTGATGCTCAGCTCAGTAGTTTGGCTCAAGCTGCATTGCAGATCTTAACCGAGGAGGCTGTGCTCACAGCAAAGCTCAGATGGGAAAAGGTCTGCACCAAGCTTCTCACCAAGCACTGGCAGGACTGGTTTCTCACAAGCTAACTCTTAAAACCCTGGGCCTTGCTGGCTCTTGGTTGGAGCCCTCATTGTCATGTGGATATCTCCAAGAAGCCACAGTGACCTCTAGTAAGAGGGGGTCACTGAAGGACTAGTAGTTTAGCCTATAATCCCTGTTACTTGGGAGGTGTACATGGTAAACTATTTATTATCCTCAACTAAAAAAATCAAACAACCTCATATAATATTTAAAATTCAACAATAAAAGGTGCCAAAGGGCACGTGGAAACAGTATAACCCATGAAGTATGAGGGTTCCAGGCAGCTGTGGATCCTGGGTTTCAGAAGCTTGGGGCTGTCAATCACACCACTGTTGCCATAACATAAGAGGTAGGCCAACATGGAAGGCCATTCTGGCTCCAGATTTGCTACAAGACCTGGATGGAAGCCAGAAGGCTTCGAGAACAAATACTAAGTAAGCCTGATGCCTCTTTCCCCCCTCTTCTCTCACTAGATAAGTTGTCTTTGTGACCATTGCAGGACCCTCCTCTCCTCTGGCTCTGCTGTCTAGTACCCTTTTCCCAGAAGCCAGTATCTTCAATCCTCAACACGATCTATGTTTCATTCCCTCAGGGCACCTCCAAACTGGCTGGAGGTATGGTGGTGGTGCTTCAGGTTATTCATCCCTGCCTATCTGAGCTGAGGCACCCAAGGACAGATGTGGTGTCCTGCCCTGCCCTAGTGCCTTCAAATGACAGGTCCCATGAGGGATGAGAAGCGGCACAATGAAAGACAGAGCAAGAGAATGGCTGTTCATGGTCAAGTTCAGTACCTGTTTACCCTCCAGGAGAGTCCCCAGCACACCTGTGCCATAAGCCCTCTGGCCACCTTCCAGGCCTTCTGAGAACCAGTTTTAGAAGCTCAAGGCAAAAAAGATCTGATTCCCAAAGAAAAGTTTGCCAAAATTCATAGTAGGAACCCCAGAATGAAAGCCACGCTAGCTGCTTTCCTAACTCGCCACAGAGCAATGTGTGAGGTAATGAGCCAGTGTCAGGAAGCCTGCTCCGACAGAAACCTGTGTGCTGAGGCCAAAGCCACATCCCAGTGTGATGGAAGAATGATCTATCTCACGGGAGGGCAGTCCACACACTGAGCTGGCTGACGTCAACACATCAGGGTTAGCTAGCTCTCAGCATGCAAGGATGCAGTCATTTCTGGCAAGAAATACTGCAAAAACAACCAAAGTAGACAGATTTTTACAATATTAATCCTGATTTCATGAACATCTAGAACAAAACTTATGTTTCTACATCTCCTTGGCCTTTTGTCTAGTTCGCTTAGAAGCTTCAAAGCTGAAGAACTAAGTTTTTAAAACTTCCTGTTCCTACAGAGAAAACTAAAGATTCTGACAAACTTTGGGAACAAACCAAACCGACCCTAGTGGCAACCTGGGAGGCTACAGAACCTCTGGGGTGGAATTACATTCAGCCTCATACTATAGGCAAGAAATTCAAGTTGGGGTACAGCCAGTGGCCTCCACAGCCAGTATGTCCTACATGGCCAGGCCCAGGTTTTCCCAAGTGCTCTCTCTGCCACTAGGAACAAGCCCCTGAACCAGGTTAACAGGAGAAAACTGTCACAGAGGTTAAGGCACTGAGGACAAGGGCCCATGGCAGTATCCCCAGGACGTTGAGTCCCACCACCTGTGGCTAAGGCTGCATGCTCAGCAGTTGCCAGGTCTGCACGCTGACTTACCTATCTGTAACAGTATAGGTGTAACCAGTGCTGTCTCCATGGCGTAACAAAATTCCCTGCCAAACATCACTGCTCCATGCATGACCCAAAGGCGTGTAGGGATTCTGTCTATGGACCCCTCGCTTGTGGTCTCCTCTTGGGTCTCCGCCTCTGGGTCTCTGGGTTTCTGAGGGTCTGGCAGGGGCACAGGCAGCTCTTGTACTTGCATAGATTCTGAGTCGGCATTCTGCGGAGCCATTTTCATTACCACCAAAATATATATGTATATATATTTATTCTACCTATATAAATAATACTATCATCTCTCTCCAATGATAAATTAAGACGTCTTCTCGCTCTGCTGCAGGTGCATTCCACGGCAAGTAACTCTTGTACTCCACTCTGTACCAACAGGCGTCTCAACTTCTCACACGAGAAGTGCAGCAACACGAAGGGTTTTTGGTTGAATTGTAAACATATGGCTTGCTGGCTCACTGTGAGTTAGAGTTAAAAATCCATAAGGGCCACTCAGTTAATACCAGTTTCATCATCATGACTGTGAAGGCGCTGTAGTTACTTCTCTTGCTACAGAGAGGTGGGAATCTGACACACACAGGCGGTCTTCTGTGACTCCCCATCGAGCGGCTAGAGGATCTGCAAGAGAGCAAAGACAAGCTGCAGTCAGCGGTGGTCTCTCTGCCCACCACACCTGCCACTCGACCCCCGGGAGCCTGCTCATCATCAACAACACTCAAAACAAGCTCATGAGAATTATACCTGGTATAGCTTTAGAAAGTGTAACCAGAAGAGAAGTGGACAGGAAAAATAACGCTCACTCTAGCTAACACTATACACTGACACCTCTGTGCCAGTCAGGTATTCCTGTTGACAGAGGCATCAATGATATTCTTCTTGGCCCACCAATATCATGAAAAGAGAGTACAAAGGAAGAAAGGGAAGCTGGGAGAGCAACTGACAGACCCACAAAAGGATTCATGAGACACTGCCTGCAAATGTGTAATAAAAGGTAGAAGAGGAGGGGTAGAGAGATGGCTCAGTGGTTAAGAGAACTGGCTGCTCTTCCAGAGGACCCAGGTTCAATTCCTAGCACCTACATGGCAACTCACAAGTATCTGTAACTTCAGTCCCAGGGGATCTGACACCCTCACACAGACATACATGCAGGAAAACATCAATGTACATGAATAATTTTTTTTAAGAAGTGGAAGAGGCAAGCTAGACAGAGCAGGGATACCAGCCCCACTGCCTAACAAGCAAGTTCAAAAATCTATGCTGAGACTGGATATCAGCATGCGTCTTCAGCAGCAGCTTGGGAAGTAGTCCTTGACCTGTCTAGGCTGGAAAGCACAGTGATAATCAAATGAAAGTTAAAAGACTCCTGAATGCACATTCCAAACTATTAACGTCTAGCAGTTTAGAGATACTCTGCCTAAGTGTTGTATTACCAGGGTATTTGGAACACAAGAGCCCAGTCTTGATGTCTGTTCAATTCCAGTTTCTGTGACCAGCTTATCTCTACTTAGACACACAATGGTAATGCATTGATTCTTAGTGATAACTGGGCATGTCTCTTAGAAAGAATCCAGATGTCAATATGGTAGCACACAGATGTTAGGCCAGCACCAGGGAAGCAAAGGCCGGAGGATCTTGAGTTCCAGGTCTGCCTGGACTAGACAGTAAGACCTTGACTCAAACCAGTATGGGCATGCACACATGTACCACCCCAACCTCTCTGAGAGGTGGACCTCCAGATGCTAGGTTCCATTTGAAGGACTACAAAAAAGGGGGCCCTGAGTCATGCAGGACAGTATTGCCATTGGATATGAAGTTGGGTCTGAAGGCTGATAGCTTACCAAATATTTCTCAATGACTGCTTTGGATAAAGTATTTTTAGTACTATCTTATTAGTAAAGGTGATTCCTAGCTAGCCCCTCCTCCCCTCCTAGGATGGACAGGAAGCTTGGGGAGAGCACCACTTAGTCCTTCTCTCAGGAGCCCATCTTCGCAGGCTCAGGACAGCCCACATGGGAAGGAGGTTTCCCAGAGCACCAAGTTCAGCTCTCCTCACCTACTCCCACTCACTTTGTTCTTTGGCCACAACTATAACCGACCCCTCAGGCCCACTCCCACCTTGCCCTCAGAATCAATCAGAGATTCAGCAGTCTCAGCCACACACAATTCTCTGTCCCCAGTTTTACTGCAACTCCACTCTGTAGCCTGCATCTGAATGAAATCTTACACTCTTCTATCCCCTCCACCATATAAACCTCAAAGGACTGGAGAGATTGCTCAGCAGTTAAGAGGCCTTTCTGCCAGAGGACCTAAGTTCAGTTTCCAGCAACTATGCTGGGCAGATTACAACTTCTTATAACTTCAGGGGATTCAACATCTCTTACCTCTGAGGATACTGGCACTCATTGATATATACATAACCCTACATGAATACTCAATACACATATTTAAAAATAAAACAACCAAAAACTATTTACCCACTTATAACATTTCCACAATTTTATCAGGAGCCACTTCCAACACATGCTTAAAAGCAGTGAGGAAACTGATCCTGACCCCCAGCTTTGTCACACTTGACTTCAACCTTTGTCCCTTTGTCACTGTCAAGAGAAACCATCATGGCTTTATTCATGTCAACCTGCCAGTCTTAGGTCAAACAGAGCCCTTCCTGACAGAGACATTTTCAGGACATGTGTCCATGAAGTTTGTGAAGCAGAAACAGATCAGCCGGTGTTGGACGGGACAACAGTGATTATTGTGCAAGCAGTCCTAAATACAGAACTACAAACACCAGACCCCCTTCAGCTCTCTCAGTGGCCTTTGACCCATGCTGCTAAATCCTCAGAGACTGTATACCTGAACTGCAGTGCTAAGACTTGGCTCCAGAGTGACTGCAGCAACAGTAAAATGAGGCAGTAACTCTGAAACCAAAGGTGGTGGTACATGCTTGTAGTATCAACTCTTTGCAGGGTGGAGGCAGGAAGACCAGAGTTCAAGGTTGCCCTTGGTTATATAGCAAGCTTGGACTACATAAGGCCCTCCTTCAACAAAACAAAAATGTAAAATAAGACAAAAATTAACCCCTAATACACAGGTGTGCAAATCATTCTAGGCAGCCCATTCCAGTCACAATGTCACAGGGTATCTATTGGCCAGGGACACTTCCAGCACTCTGTAGCTGTCTGTAGCACCCAGCCATCGGCCCCAAGGTTGAGTAATACTTGTCTAAGGCCAGCTAGTTGGCTCAGAGAGGACAACCTGATATTCTTGGGACCCATAAGGTAGGAGAAGCTGTCACCTGATTTCTACTCATAGCGTGAGAAATCTGAATCAGCTCCAACCCAAGTATGACCAACTTTCTTTTACAGCCACAGATAGTCTCTTGTTGTATATTCTATTTAGTTTTTGGTCTCCCCTCCCCCCCCCAAAAAAAAACAGGGTTTCTCTGTATAGTCCTGGCTATCCTGGAAGTCTCTCTTTATAAACTAGGCTGGCCTTGAACTCAGAGATCTGCCTGAGTGCAGGGGGTGGGGTGGGGGGGTGGGGGTATTAAAGGTGTGCTAGGTGTGCATTACCACCTCAATGCTTGCTGGGTTTTTTGTTTGTTTTGTTTTTAACAACCCATTTAGAATGCAAAACTTGTCCACCAGTCCAGCAGAACCAGTACTGCAGGCTAGATCTCACTAGGCTTTTTTGAGATTATGGGTGCTGACCAATGCCCTAGAGATAGACAGGTCAACAGTCTTGGAAGTCCGTAGAGTGAGTTCTCTTGTTGCTCCATCCAAACAGCTTCTGGGCTTCCAATTCCCATTTGACCTGACCCTATCACCATTGTTGATGTGTTATTCCAGGCTGCGCAAGACAGCGCTGGAAACCACATGCCGTCCAGCCATTTGCTGGCTCTGAAGATGTGATGCCCTCAACTAAGGCTCAGTCTCCACAGCAACACTACACTTCGAAGACTCGGGATTTATAGCAGCTTACTAGGAAGAGAAGGCCAAGTAAGAACAGCTAGTGTCCAGCAAATCATTACACAGTAGTGTGCAACTTCTGGTCACAGCTAGCAGCAGGTCTGTAGAACTGACTACACACACCTTCATTTTACCTGGTCAGAGCAATGCATGGTGGCACAAGTACCAGGTGAGTACAAAAAAAAACAGACATCAAACAGGGATGGGGGGGAGGGAGACGGATGGACTCTGGAGACTTTACTCAAAGACTCAGAATTTGTGCAATGTCAGGACTTGGCATGGTGTGCAGATGAGCACACATGTGCCAGGCAGCAGCCTCAGCACCCACCATCTCAGAAATGCCTAGCACTGAGCTGCACGATCTACCTAGAACAGTGCTGCCATCTTTGAAGGGACTCAGTCCAGTCTAGCTCTGGGATCAGGGAGGCCTATTGTAGCTGCTTCTCCCCGGGGTTCACACAATACAGTCCTACCATACTTCCTGCCTCTCTGAACCAGCTCAAGCCACACCAACCTTTCCAGACTCCTCCCCATTTAGCACCATGGGCTCTGCTCCTGCCAACACCGTTGCAGCTGCTGGGCAGGATAACATGCCAAGCTAGCTGTTGAGCAGCTAGCATCCTCACTTCCCTAAACCAGGTCCTTCAGCTGCTCACACTGGAACTGGCCACACATCAGAAGCCCAGTGGGGTTCAATGAATGATGACGGATTATCTAAGAGCAGTAGCAGGGAGGACACCTGGGGTACCTGTCCTGGCCACTGTCACACTCTAGAGTTCTGGAACAGCCACATCTGGTGTGGTGAAAGGCAACCAGCCCCCTTATCCTAGGTCTGGCCTCTCTGGGATCCTTGTAGATAGTGTGCTGGGTTGGGTACCTTCTGCTTATGTGGTCCAGATGAACAGACAGTAGATCTGACATAGGCAAATGCCATGAGCATCTTCCAGATGGCCTTAAGGAGCAGTGATTAAGTACAAGGCCTACTGAACATGTCTGTCTGTAAGCTAAGTCCCAGGCACAGCCAACCCATGGCACTCACATCACCAAAAAGCAACTAACCCTCTAAGAGCCAGGGCAGCTTTTCAAACTGGGATTTTAATTAAAGTCATGTTAATAGCTAGAACAAAACAGACTCAAGCTGGTGAACAGCAGCATTTCTTCTCCAACACACAGGGATTAGATCAACATGGATTTACAGCTGGGCACTGTGGAAGACAATCTGCTCCCCATTAGAGTGCCACCTGACATAGCCACTAGGCTCAACTTCTCTCCTTCAAAGCCCTAGCAAGTGGCAACTAGACCAAGGGCCCTATACAGTAAAGAGATTTTGATGTCACACTTAGCAGAAAGGGACCCCAGATGATCAAGAGATACACACTGGTACCTGAGGAACATCGGTACAGCTAAGGAAGGAGAAAAGAGGGATGCATGGCCCAGGCAGGCACTCCCTGATCTGAAAGGAGGGGAAGTATTTAAGGCCGGTATCTGAGAAGCAGCGAGTATCCTCTGCCAGAGCCACTGTCAAAGGCTGGGTGCCAGGCCTCCGCTCACACTAGCCTGGCTTGGCTGCAACACTGCTTTAAGCAGAAAGGCAGCCGGCCCCTTTCCCTTTCTGAGAGGCAGTCCACACTATGTTTCTTCCCAGCACTC